CTTCTGTCAGGGCTTCACATTTTCTCCCCTCGCTGCTGTTTCTACTATTACCAGCTCCTACCTGGGTCACCACTTCTCCCAACTCCTACTTCTTACCTGTGCCCCTTGTAGAAGGAACCGCCTGCGGCACCTTGTGAATCAGAAGTTGGACAGTCCTGGTGTATCTTATTCACTTATGTATATAACTTTGGGTGTAGGCATTGGGTAAATTGGCATTGCCTAAAAAATATACCCTTAAGTGAGATTTAAATGATATCATAGGTTAAAATTTTAGCAGGATACTATTGGGTTAAAAATGACATTAGGACAGATTGTGATCCTTCTGTTTCCACTAGTGAGAAAATACATAAGAATTTTTATTAGCTTTACCTTAATAATATACTGATGTAGAAAGTCACAATCCTAGCCTATTTTAAAAACGGATGTTTTTTACATTAAAGTTTGCTTTTAAGTTAATCAAGGGTGATAGTTTACTTGCATTTTGCTCAGCGTGGATGACAAAAATGGACTATCTTCACTTTTGCTCAAGTTTTACTTCAAATTAATTGTCAATTATTGGATCTTGCGTAAAATGTTTGAGTGGTAAACTCTTGCAGGAATGTTTATTTAGCAGTCTGTGGTAACTGGATTCTCTGTAGAAGTTGTGGAAATTTCTCTATTAGAGTTTAGTTTGATAAAAGCATACATTTGGGAATTGATTCATCTTGGCAGTCTTTTAACTTTGTTATCTACATTTTGTAGGTAATTCTTCCACTACTGAAAAGTGATTTGTATGAAGTCATGCAGGCAACAATCAATACGAGATTGTCTAGTTCCATGCCTGTTTGGTTTGAAAACAGTGCAGCTGTGACTGTGGTCATGGCTAGTGAAGGTTACCCAGGAACCTATGCCAAGGGCTTGAAAATAACAGGTAAAGACAAGAGTGGCAACCATTTCCTGTTGGCACTCAGGAAATAAGAGAGGCTTTTCTCCTGTTGTGCCTTTCAGAGATTAATCCATGTAATGCAAAGGTCTAGAAACTTCACAATTTATTATTCTGTTTGAGCAAAAGACAAGTAGATTTGAAGAGAGCACCATAGTTTTCTTTAGGTAAACAGAAAGGCTCTCTTAAAATTCAAATAAGGGCAAGTTTAAAATCCACTGCTGCATGACAGTCCTTGTGTCCACAATCTAAGCATTTCCTAATTTCTGCATCTTTATGGTCTGTTTTCCTAAAGATGATTTCTTTTACAAGGTGGTATGTATAAAACACAAGAGGGTAGTACTTTACTTATCATAGACCACTGTTAGAATTTTGGTCACTTTGGATCTTAAGTAGGAGTACGGCAAAATACAATGCTATAAACATGTTTAAATGCCCCATTATTTGTCCCTGGACATTGAGCTAAAATTTGTTTCTATAAAATTTAGTTTTCTTTGCAGTAAACAGAGAAATTACATAGGGTTAGTACAAGAAATCATGCTTCTGGATTGGGGCATCCAGGCACCACCAGAGCACAAATAATTAATTATGATTAACATTTCTATTTCAGAATGTTTTAAGTGACTAATTCTTCACATTTACATTTGAAAAAAATGACAGGTCTTTCTAAGGCTAAAGAGCTAGGGCTGGAAGTGTTCCATGCAGGCACAGTAATAAAGGATGGCAAGGTTGTGACTAATGGTGGAAGAGTCCTTACAGTAACAGCTATTAAGGAAGATCTGATGTCGGCACTGGAGGAAGCCAACAAAGGAGTAGCAACCATACAGTTCAAGGGTGCCATTTATAGAAAAGACATCGGTTATCGGGCCATCGCTTTCCTCAGACATTCCAGGTATATATCTGGAGGCAGTGCCTTAATCTGATTTGTAATAATTATTGCTACCTCAAGCAATCAAAAGGCATTACTACTAGCTCAAGCAATCACTTAAATTGGAGTTCCCTAGTTCTTAATGCACAGAAGTTTCAATTTGCCCCACCTTCTTTTTTCCCCAGTTAATTGAAAGTATTTTAACTTTTGATAACAGAATGTTTTGCAAAGAATAAGAGCCTGTATTAGTAAGACAGTCGGTTTTACTGCCAGTGTACAGCTTCACTGATTAGTATATTGTAAAGCTATTCCTGTATAATTAATAAACTAAATAAATGAAAAAGGGTGTTGGTATGTAGTCTTATTTATACTGGTAGCAGAGTACAGCATGTGAAAAGTTATGTAAAAATATATAATTATATTTTTACTATAGTGTGTATATCAAATATTGATATCAGAAAAAAAGACAAAACTAAGGTGTGATCTTTTAAAGCATAGACTTGTAGCGGGGGTGGACAGAGAAGGGATATGAAGGCAGTTTTGATGATCCCTAGGAAGTATAACAGCCCTTTGTGCTGGCCATTAATGGCCCCAAGTAGAAAAGGCCCTGAGGAAGCTGTACTTTTTGTTGGACTTCAGACATCTTCAAGTATTGGGGGAAGACACTGGTGATCTGTCGCACACCTTTACCCCTCTGGGCTTGAATTAAGGACAGGTCAGAAGGAATGAGGAAAGTGCAGCATTTTTATTTTGGAGTTGAATCTGCTGGGTGCTGAGAGGCTTAGATTCCCATAGAGACACTTCCATGAGGCACTGGCCACCTCTTCAGGATCATTTCCTTGATGTTTTCCTTTACTGATAAGACCAGAATACTTTTATGAAACTGAAATAGTCTCTTCTCTATAAAAAGCAGCTACTGGGCATATATTCAAGCTGAAAGTATGTTCAACTCAAGTCCTTAGATCAGTGGTTCTCAACCTTTTTAGATTTGGCGCACCTCTCAGTAGTTCTGAGGAAACTCCTCCTGATAAACTCAAGGCAACACTGAGAAAATAGTAGCTTTTAATTTTCACTTTTTAATTACAGAAAAATAATACAGCAATTCTTATGTTGCATAAAACTGTAAAAGACCCATAGGGCAGAATGTCTTTTGAACTATGGATTCCTCTGCAAAATATCTGGGCTTATCTTGTGAATCATGTTTGTACACATAACAGTGCTGATGTCATGTGGCACTCTGTAACACCCTTGAAAGGATCTTAAAGCACCTTGGTTGAGAATCACTGCTCTAGATCAAGTCTAGTCCCCTGTTATTGCAGGAAACCATATCCTATAAACCAACTGGGCACCATTTTATAATGAGTTTTGTTGTCCCGTCGTGGGTTTGTGCAGAAATACGTGTGTGTAACTGTAGTTGTGTGATTTTTTTTTTTTTTTAATAGCACTTTTTTCCCACCAGAAGACAGTCTTTCTGAAACATGTGTCTGAAACGAGCCTTCACCTTTTGTGTAAAACGTAATGCTTGTTTTGGCTCTCTTTTCTAATTCCTCCATACCCTTTCAGCCTAGGAACAGTTATTCCTCAATTGAAGTCAGATAGATTTTGCCACAATTGAGCATTAAAATTACAATGACCACCCCCAAAAAACCAAAAAGCTTCCCTTTTGTTTGAATAGTTTACAAAATGATGTCTTGGAAAATGGGTATTATTTATATAATTCAGTTTTAGTGTATTTTTTAAAGGTTTCTAATGTTCTCCTTTGGAGGTCTTCTGAGTACTTGTGCATGTGCTGTATTTGTTTCTTGATATCTGACTTGGTAGTCAGTAGGTCTATGATCTGCTCTTGGAGGCTGTCCTCAAGATGACTGGGATGGTTCACAAACTCCTTTCAAGTTAAGAGGCATTATTTCTTCAACACACCTGCTCTCTTTCTTCTGCCATATGTGTGATGTTAGTCTCAAAACAACAGTACAGTGTATCAGCTTTGAATCTGAGCTGGCTGACAGGTTTGAGTTAGTTGACATCATAATTACTGTATATATAAAGATGATGTGACTAGAAAACTCAATGTGTATAATAGGATCAAGATTGGATTCTTTATAATTAATCCCCATAAGCACTTCAATGTTGTAGGAAAGTAAAAGGCCAATATATTTGTGCACTTATTAATTGGTTCATTTAACAATTTTTAGAGGCCTGACCTACAAAAACAGTGGGGTAGACATCGCAGCTGGCAATACTTTGGTTCAGAAAATTAAACCCTTAGCAGCAGACACCTCAAGGCCAGGTAAGATTTATACCCTAATTCCTGTTATACTCATCTATTGACAATGGTTTGACCCTAAGAATAAAGCTAGTGCTTATTTTTTATGCTATAAATTGAAAATCCAAGGTTAAACAAATGCCCTAGATACATTCAAAATCTAGAAAGCCCTAGGGATACAAAATTGCTTCTCAAAATGATACTGCAGAAAATATTGCCTGAAAACCAACCCCTTTGAAAATGCTGCTTCTGTCTCTCCCTGCTCTCAGGAGCTCTCAGGGTGCCCATACAATGCCAAGGAGTATGACCTAAATTTAATATACATCAGCAAAAATCGCACCACCTACTGGTATTTTTGATTAAATACATTATCAGAGCATGTGCAAAATGAACTATGCATAAATAAATGTTTTGGAGGTCAGTGGGATTTTTTTTTTTAACTGAAAATGTAAAGCTACCTGTGACGTCCGTGGGCCTCCCGTCCGGTACCGCCCGTCGTCTGGTAGCCCCTCCCCCTCGTCCTGCCTGCCACCACTTGGA